TTTTTTTTTTGCCTTTGCGACCGGAGTTGGCGCCAGAATATGGAAATTATGAATAAAATGTAATCGAAGGGTGGTTCATGCAGACAAACAGATAGTATAGATCACAAACTGTAGGAGGAGGGGAGGTTCACCGAGTTATAAGCCACCAGCAGAGGGCTGCAGGCTGCGGGCTGCAGATTGCAGAAACCAAATCATCTCAAACAGGGAAGTACGGTTGAGCGAGTGTCGATCTGCTGATCGGAAACTCCCATGCTGCAGGTAGCTTGCGAGCTGCACCAGACACGCTAAACCGGTTTCTTATCGGGGGGCCGATTCCGTTGGCCGGTCCGAGGATTGATTGACACCTCCCCCATCCCGAAGTTGATAATGCATCACCCTCACAGACCACACACGCTATTGATTGAGAATGGTGGGATGGGGTTTGCTTCCTGACGCCATCACTCAAGTCTAAGACTCAGCTCAAGACTCAGTCCAAGACCCAGTCTAAGACTCTCATGGAATAGTCCTTGGTCCAGGCACAGGACGCAATTAGAAGAAATTACGCACCAGGATCGCGTCAATTGACCCAGTCGGTGGTGAATGGCGGTGACTCAGTGAGTCAGTGTCAATCTGGCCGCTGAAAAATTGCCACTCTGATGACACCATCTAATAGAGGGGGAGGGGGGGAGGGAGGGGGGAAGGAGGGGCACCAGCAAAAGGAACGTCAGCGCTACTGTGGTGGAGTCGTTGACTCTGGGCCAAAGACTCGTACACCTGGTGAGTTGTGAAGGTGATCGAGCTGTCGCGTCGATGCTCGAGACTTCCAGGTTTCAAAGCCACACACAGAGAGTGCTCCACCCGGCCCCAAAAATAAAAAAAATGAACACCGAATGCATTATGAATCGCTTATCTGACCCACGTGCCCGTGCACGGACATCTTTCCCTCTTCAAGTGTAAGGAACCTTATTCACTGGCTGGTGAAGTCTTTGCTATCAGTCTATCACACCCGGTGCCTGCCTGTGCCTGTGTGCCTGTATCGCATGGGCGTGAAACCACTCGCTGATTGGCAGTGGCCCTGGCCGTGCATTATCATTAACGTTTCATGATCCATTGTCACCGAGTGGTTCCTGAGCAATTTTGTGCAGTTGGGCAGTGGCGGTCGAGGGGTTTGTCGGCCTGATGGCAGGGCTGGAACAGTCGGCCACTGATGGGCGGATCCACTTACTGATCCACCGGGGAAGTTCTAGAGCCCTGGCAAGCAGACTTTTGCTCACCCCATGACCTACTCGCGCTTTTCTTATCGCAAGCTGGCTTTGCTTCCCCTGGCACCCTATATAGACTCTGAAGGTCCGGCAATCATGGAAAGGGGAAAAAAAAGTGTCAACCAAGCAAGCAGCTCTACGTTTCCTTCCCCCTTCAACCCAACACCAATTCACCTTGACTCTCCCCGCCCTTTGGGTGACGGAGTAGTGCCTGCGTACATACACACCACCACTATCGAGTCTCTCGCCCACCACCAACCCACCCAATCCCAACCTACAATGTCCTACACCTCTTCCTTCCTCTTCACCAAACCGACCCCTCCTCCCCCTGTGCGCTCTCAGCGTCGCTCCCCCTTCGCGACCAAATCCTCGCTCCATCTCCACCTCTGCCTCGTCTCCGGCGAGAAGTATGAACACGAAAGCAGCGCCAAGCAGCCCGATCTGCGCCGGTGCCTCGGCCACGCCCGCGTCCATGAGAAGTCCATGGAGCTCGTCAAGCGGGACATCCAAGTCCACATCCGCTCCATGGGTAGCGACAGCGACGATGACCTCGACAATGACCTGCCCGTCCCACCTCGGCGCTCCCGCCGCGGCTCCAAGCCCTCATCCGCGGCTCCTGCCCCGATGAAGTCGGCCGCTGTCAAGTCGACCGCCGTGAAGACCCCGTCTATCAAATGGGCCCCGGAGCCCACCGAGAAGAAGAGCCTCCTCGACAAGGGCCGCCGATGCATGGAGAAGATCTTCTCCCGCCGAAGTGGCAGCGTGCACTGGTCTCAATCTGGAGTGCCTGTTGTCGCCTGTTGAACTCCACCTATCTAATCTTCACTCGTTCTCGACCACGTCTCATCGCCTTTGATCAACTCAACCAATCCCCGACCACCCATCACGGTCCTCACCAGACCCAGGGAACCACGCCGTGTCCGGTGTCTCTCCACCTCGGACTCCATCGGCAATCCGTCTGCTCCAATCCAGACCGACTCCTCCACGGGATCACTCATATCTCCCGTCCGTACAACAGCTACTGGCGCGCTTTCATCCGATCGAAAGCTTTGAGCATCCTCGGCGTCTCGGACAGACCACCTTCACCTCATCTATCTAATCTCTCGCTCGCTCACCTTTCCTCTCTCCTCATCATCATCCCTCTCCTCCTCCATGACGAAGCAGAGCTTCAAGATTACGGCCCAAAAGACTCTCTTCTCCTTTTGTATCCTGTCTCCTTTGTTCCACTATCTCGGCGTCATCTATCCTGTCTAGCGTTCACTCCTGTTATTAGAATATACCACCTAGAGCGTCCACGTCCTATAGATCATAGATCAGACCTTCCCCTTTGCCGTGCAAGGGACGAACCAATAATGAAGAATATACTCTCAAACACCACATTATTCCTCCTGCTAGCCATCAAAACCCCCAATCCCAAGCCCAATCACCGATCGCACCTAGATCCCCACTAAGCAAACCTCCTATGCAAATTTACGAATACGAAGCCACAACGATTCTAGACCTTCTAGAACATATTACTCAGTAAATCAATCATCGCCAGAAATAGCTCCCCGAAAGCCTCACATCCCACAAAAGGGGAGAAGGGGGGGAGGCTGGAACCCGCAACCGGGTCGATCGATCGGTCGGCCACGGGGCGGAGTCCATCCAGCCCCGGCAAACTGGCGAGACCGGATCGCCGCGGGTAAATCCCACTTGCCAATCGGAGTCTCGTTCTTCCGGGATTCTGGCGCCGCACGAGTGGGGCCACGGGGAAGGATTGCCCCGGGGACGGGACGGCCTCGCTTGTGGTTGGTTTTTCCGGCGGGCTTGGGACCATTGAGTCATTGTGGTTAACTAGTTATCTACAAGAAAAAAGTATCCCTACTCCATACTATGCAGGTGCTATTCTTGGTTCTTTGGTTTATGGCTTCGAGACTGAGACTATCGGTGAAGTCACGGATAGGCGCTGGAGCTATTGAGGGATGGGCCCCGTCCCGGGGTGCTCATGTGATAGTGCTGGGGAATGTATACCTACTGAGTGTTGAAATGATCGACTAATGTTACGTACATAGTAGTCCGCACCCCTGCTCGGATCCATGATCAACGGACATGATGTATACTGTACCTGGGGCTGTGGATGTGTGTGGGGTAAACGCTGCTGATCAATCATCAATGGTGTCATCCCAGCTGAAACAGATTGCCGGATCTGCAGGGTCGGATCTTTGACGATCCGGTGGGGGGAGGAGGTGCGGTTGGTTCGTGGTGGCTGTGATGGGATTTTTATAGAACATGGTTACCATAACGTTCGGCAAGGGGATAGCTGACGTGCTGGGGTTGCCACTGTGGGACGCTGGTGTGTACTCAGATCTCACAGGGCAATATTGTTGACGAAGTCCGCGTGACGTGAGATATATTTAGTATGCGAGGGAATGTGGGGTAATGACTAAAAGAGTTTGTGTGCAAGTAGAGTCACATTACTTGGGCTCAGATGGTGATATCGACGGGCTATAACCACCGATCCACTGAGCTATAGTGGCACAATGGCTACTCGAGTACAAGAACAAACGTTGTGGTCGGATCAAGGACATGTTGAAGTCAAGGATAGTTGAAGCCCGTCCCTCGAATGATTCGACGACAAGTTGACTGGATTGTCCCTTTTAGTCAAGCTACATTCGAACGGCCTTTCGAAACTAGATACATAGATGATACTATCGCAATTCTGGCATCTTCAATCGACTAACCAAATCAACTTCACTAATTGTGTGTAGTTATGTGATTACGAAGCCCCGTGGAAAGCATTTGGGCTAAAAATAGATCCTGTATGCATAATTTATCCGCCCCGAGCGGAAGGCAGAGGCAGAAAACGGCCGGCAGCCGGCTAGAACTTTTCTCCAGCACCCGAGCCAGCTGTTTGGAGGGCGCTTTCGCTTCCTGTCCTCTTCGCAGTCCTGCTCCCGATTTTGTTTCCTACGTATTTTGTTGTCCTGTGAAACCATAGGACTCTGTCTTTGACCGGTAGAAGGCCAAAAATGAGTCATGCTGCCAGGAGGTTGTCCTGGGGATAGAGAATCATGGCCTTGGACCAAACCTTCCTCGTCAACAATAGTATATTGCCCAGTCTAGACATCTCGCGCCGCGTTGCCGCGGACTGATAGGTTATGATATAGTCTAGGGTGTCAAATGTGTCGTTCATTATCCGTGCATTCAAGACCGTGTTTGTGGTGGAGTGCGAGGGCAGTCCAGGCGAATGATAACCGGCCGCTTCTACCCGGTTTCCCGCCTAGGACCCTTTACGGAACGGCCATGCATGGTCCATGGTGCAACCTTGGAAATGGTTCAAGTAATCTCACTAAAATCTTACTGCAATTTCGCAGGCCAATGACGTTGACAGAGTACCTCACTTAGCCAGAAGCGAGAGGCTGGGCATGGAATGACTTCGTTGTGGTTTCTTTCTCTTATGTACATTTCCGATGCGTTCGCTCTAGAAGACCTTGCTTATAGTAAGTTTCTGGTCAGCACTGCTGGATATTACGGAGTAAAGGATCACTGCTAGATGTCGCAAAGCATACTAAGTACAATATGACTATTGTTCTACAGCAGCAAGGGTGTACAAGTAGCCATTTTGTAACGCTGGACCTACTAGCTTAACTAGCATAGTGACCAAACTAAATTAGACCAGACTAGTACTAATAGTCACAACATTCAATCTTAAATATAACATTGTGCCCACCTCGCGCGGGGGCTATGCCTCATGTGCTTTAATTCTCCCTAAAGTTTCATCAGCAGGTCTTGTGTTGGGTGACAAGATCGACCTCTCTGATGCTGCACAACGTGTTTCGCATGTAGGTCCAGACCGTGCTGGAATCGCGTCCAGACTAACAGACTGCGCCCACTAGCATTGGCCTCGGCCTGACCGTCTACTCATTTCTCCCTCAACTGCAGCTCATCCATTCCAGCAAGGACACCTCAGGCCTGTCGCTCTTTTCCGTCGTCCTCAACACCATCTGCGCTACGGAACAGTTCCTCATCGGCCTGATCTACATAAGCCTTCCCCATGGCGCAGACTTCTTCATCGAAAACCCCAAGTCCTGGGGCGACTGGCTGAACTTTTGCCAACTCGCCACTGTCTGGGTGCTTTTTGTTCTCCAGTAAGTAGTGCGACTGGTTGGGTTCCTCAAATGCTCAATGGCCATTCGAGATTTTGATAATTCAGAACTGACCCCCAAGATTTGGCATGTGTCTCTGGTATCCATCGCCGGGACTATCCCGCAGACGAAAGATCTACGCGGCAACTCTCTACGGCATCTTCCTCGCCATCTCCCTCGCACCAGGGGCGTTGCTCATCGTGTTGCTCTACCAAGACCCAGACGCCGATCTCACGCACGCGATCTTCAGCGGCTGCCATCTTCTGTACGTCAACCCGGCGGTGCCGTGGCTAGGTCTGGGGTCGGTTCTGTGTCAGGTGGTCACCTTGATTCGCTCAGGGCCCCAGCACCAAAGTGGCATCAGTGTGCGGGGGCTGGGTGCTCAGGCGGCTGTGTTTCTGCTGCTCGCGGGGACCTGGCCATTTCGGGTCACCTGTCCACCTTTCCCAGAAGACTATCCGCTGTCCTGGCCGTTGGTCTATGCCTGGTTCCTGTGGGTGGGGTGGCCGGCGGTGGACAGTCTGATTTTCGCGGTCGGACAGGGGCTTTTGTTCTTGCTGGCGGCGCGGAGACGTGCTGTTGTCGGCACTTTGGAGGCTGTCGCAGGGGAAACTGAGCCTTTATTGGCGAGCAGGTAGTAAGGAAGTCTTTTTGTGTCGAGGACAGTACGATATGCAGGCCACCAGGCTAAGAAGGGTTCCACCAGATTTGCACCGGGTACCGCAATCTTGGGTCGGTTGTTCTTGGGCAAATCCACCCCTTCCCTGGCTGAATTAAGCTTGGACGCCAATAGGGTGAAGGAGACTTCTAGTAGAAGTTGCTCTTCGATTGTAGAATCCTTGATTGAGATCCGTCTAGCTGTTTTCTTACCACTCCCCCCCCTCGCCCCCCTTCAATCCCGACCCTCGTTTTGGTCAGAAATGCCGTATCCTTCCACAACTCCAGAAAAGCCCAAGTCATTTCTGCCACCCATTCGGAGCGATCACATGTCACCAAATCTATATGGTGTATTTGTTCTCCATTGCAGATGCAAAACAAATAACTTTACACACATGTACTGCTCGGATAACACTCCGTGTCCCGGAGAATTCCCTACCTGCGCAGCCCTTCATAGGTCAGGAGCAAGGGATCGGCAACCCCGATCGGAATGCTGCATACCATAATAAACCACGGAAAGTCGGCTTGGTAGGGCGGGGAGTCTGTTTCCGTACGGTTTCTTGATCTCCCTAGAGCCATGCGCGGCCCACAAGTCCCCCTTGCTTTTGGTCTGTGTGACACAAAGTATGAAGACCAAATTGCGATTTGCATACTTCCATTTACGGTCGACAAAACACAAACAGCCCGCGAGGCTTCGCGTCGAGACCACTCCTAGTCTGATTGCTATAAATGCGCGCCGATTGCATGTGGCAAATTGAAGATCATCAATCTCATCGACGTCGACAACCGCTACCACCACCACCACCACCATCAACACCGCCAAGATGAAGTTCGCCCTCTTCCTGTCCAGTGCCTTGGTTGCCATTGTTCCCGCTTTGGCTTACTCCTCGACCCAGGTTAGTGGACTTCCACCGGAAAATCGTTGCGACGAGACTAACATCCATGCAGGCTGGACTCTTCGCCCAGGACCACTTCCTCGGACCTTACGTCCACAGCAATGGGGATGGATCTTGCATTACGACGTAGGAGCAGTCCTCTTTAATAGTTGTGGAGCTGGTGCTAACGTCAACGTGTATAGACCTGCGGGTGTCATCAATTCTGTTGAGCTGATTCCTGGCATGACATGCCAACTGTATCGGTACGGGTTTAACTGACGTCCAGGTTGAGCGGTTCTCTTTGCTTTGACTTGATACTGACGCCTCGAATTCTACTCCAGCGAGCCGAGCTGTGCTCAGGAGGCTATCCCGCTCAAGCGCGACAGCGCCTCGCTCAGATACGACATCGGGGCCCCGGCGCGGAGCGCCCGGTGCCTGAAATAGATCCTGGTCCAGACACCACACTGGACTTTTCGAGATCGAAAAAGTTTTCTGTACCGATAGCTTTCTGTTCTTGTAATGATTGAAATCCCTCCTTTGTCCGAATCTCTTTATGGGCTTGTCTTTGCCTAGGCGCGACAGACCTATTTGACAATACAAGCGGATCCGTTCGGGCTTTGTTCCTTGTTGAATATCTCCAAAGAGTGGAATTCCGAGTCCTTCGACGTCACTGCGGCTCCTAACATGATTCCGTCGGCTACCCACATAGACCGCACTATGATCGGAGACAGTGATCCGATGCATTGATAAACCCGCGATGATGATGATAATAATAGTTCTATTAATCTATAGAGCCTGTGCTCTGAGTATACTAGCTATAAAGGTGCCGTACTGAAATGGAACTATTCCAAAATACTTTGAACACGTCGGGTTGTTTCCAGCTTTAAAATACATGAGATAAAATAGGCTCCTCTCGAGGTCTACCACAATAGGTGCCTTTTAATAACAAATATAGCTGCAACATCATTTATATCCAAAGCCTCTAGGACTCAATAAGGGCCACAAGTCTTACTGTCACCCGCAGCCTAGCCGACGACGGTCTACCACTACGCCATCTGCGGCCTACACCCGTCGCGCCACGCGCGATGCAGTCTTCCGTAATGCAGCCGCTGTGTAACCCATGCGGGCCCCCGATTACACAGACACAAGCTAAGCCCTATACAAGCCAGCCTTATAGTGGTCCAAGCTTGATATATTGTGTGACTCACTCGGCTGTGAGCGTCAGCCCCTTCCGACCCCACGTGCAATCGTGCAGAATGTACACGCATTACAACACCACTGAAAAGGATACAGCCCGCCGCCACTTTCCAACTCACCACCAAACCACTCTCTCAACCATGAATCCACCCACACCAACAAAAGCCAGCCATCGCGCCCTGGCCCTCCCCGAGCTCCTCACGGAAATAATCGCCTGGATCCACGCCGACAGGCTCAGCACCTGGCCCGCGACGCGCGCACCACAACCCCCAGAATCCACCCCCACCCCATCCACCGATGATTGCGACGACCAAGGCTCCGTCTCCGACACCCCCTGCGACGAGGACGCAGACGAGCCCGAAAACACATACCACTACACGCGCACCGGCGCCCTGTACCGCTGCGCCCTCGTCAACCGCCCCTGGTCAGCCGTGACCCTCCCCATGCTCTGGCGCGACGACCTCGACTCATCGCACAGCAGCAACGACCTCCCCGACCGGCTGGCGCGGATCGCCGACCCCGCGCGCCGACAGATGTACGCTGCGATGGTGACGCGCGCCCGCCTCGTCACCGTCTCCGAGCCGGTCGCGCAGGGGTACGGCGCCGCACTGCGCGAGGTCGAGTTTCTGCGGCTGAGGTCTGTCACCTTGGTGTGTCCCGGGGCGGGAGGGGGTGAGTTGTCGTGCGTGCCGCCGGTGCGGGGCGGCCGGGTCAAGGTGCTGGAGATCGATCCGCGGTTCGAGTCGTGGCCGGATACGTACTGCGTGCGGCATGCGGAGTGGGAGGCGTTGTTTGGGGAGATTCTGGTGCGCTGCGTTACCCACGACTCGTGGGGAAAGTTGATAGCCATGGCGGACGAGCTGACAAGGTGACCTTTGGGACATGTAGACGATTTTCCCGAATGTTGAGACGGTGGTGTTCAAGGACCGTGCGAGGGTGTTTCCGGGGGCGCTGCAGCGGTTTGCGGAGAGGTTGTCTGCCTTGAGGCGGTTGGATCGTCGGCTTGTTATTGAGAATGAGGATATTTATAGTCCCGGATAGAGGTGCATAGCGGGGTGTGGGTTGTGCTGGGAGTGTGCGGAAGAGGGTGGGCGGAGGTAGGTTAGGGCCGGTTTTGAAGGTAGTAGTATTTAAACGAATGTGCTGAACGGTTCAAGGCTCTGCCATTCTCCGGTGGTTCATGATACCCAGGCTTTTCCTTCTGCTTACCGTTTGCACTTTTTGATCCAGGGTCACAAAGCTGGACTGGCTTTACCGACTAATCTTACCTTCCTACTGAAAAACATTTTTGGATCCTGTTTCGAACTCTCATGTTGCCACATTCTCAATCAACATGTGTCAATCCCGACTGTATTTTGAAATGTTTCTCATGCCATCTTGTGCAAATAAACAACTTCGTATAGCTTAGTATGTCACCCACCAGAAACATTTCGAGCTCGAGTAAGCAGATGTAGTACAATTGTCCAGCTACGTGACTCTTCCGGCTACTCAACATTGCAGCCTGAGTATAACACCACAATACCAAACACATGAATAACACCAACGGGAGAAAAAGGGCCCACTCTCCGTCCATCAGCGACAACTTTCACCGTCGATACCACATCCGGGTAACCTTCGTCCGCCGCATCTTCTTCTGCAACTGAAACACCCCGTAGAGGGTGGCCTCGGCCGTCGGCGGGCACCCGGGAATGTACACGTCCACGGGGACGAGGCGGTCGACCCCGCGCACGACGCTGTAGCTGTAGTGGTAGTAGCCGCCGCCGTTGGCGCAGCTGCCCATGCTGATCACCCAGCGGGGCTCGGCCATCTGGTCGTAGCACTGCCGCAGCGCGGGCGCCATCTTGTTGGTCACCGTGCCCGCCACGATCATCACGTCCGCCTGCCGCGGCGACGCCCGGAAGATGATCCCCAGCCGGTCCTGGTCGTAGCGCGGCATCGACACGTGCATCATCTCGAGGGCGCAGCAGGCGAGCCCGAAGCTGAGCGGCCAGAGGGAGCCCTGTCGCGCCCAGTTGACGATCTGGTCGAAGGTGGTGCTTGCGGAGGTCAGCCCTGAGATCGTAAGGGAGGTAGGGTGGTTGCGTACAGAACGTGCTCGGCTAGGTTCATGGGTCGTTTTTCGGTTGAGAGAGAGGTGGATGGTGATGGGGTGCTGTTTTCTGTATGGTTTGAGTGGTGGAAAGACTTGACTGAGTAGAATGCGCGAGGGGGAAGCGGTAGGCGCGTTGGGTGCGCGCGCGACTGAAGGCATAGGGATGCCACTTCTGAATGCCAAACGAGGGAGGTGAGCTGCAATCCATAACGTTTTCGAGATCGGCCTACCATAATTGATCATCCGTGCAGGGCTTATGCGTAACAGCTGCATGATGAACGGGATAACGGAGGGACGATTTCACTAAGGACTGTATGATATCTGCTGCTGGGTTTATGGAACTGGCACGTAGGAGGGGATGGTGTAGTATACAATCTGATGTGGGTTTTCCGACTAGCATGTGGGATTTCCCGACTAGAATTCCGCAAGTAGTAAGGTCTTCCCGCCGGGCCCCACTTGGGCTTTTTCACTTGCCTCCAGCCGTCTTCGTCTTCCTCTTTCCGCTCTTTCTTTTTTTCCCCTCATGCACTTATGCTCCTGCTACTATGCCCTTGACGGTATCCCAGGTTCCAGTCAATCTCAAGTCTCAAACAGTTTCGACATGCGACCCACAGACTACAGTGGCTTGTAGTGTATGCCACAAAGTATTCACCACTAAGAGCCACCTCCGACGACATGAAGCCAGCCGTAAGCCACTCCACCCTTGCATTAGTCCTCCGGCAAATCTGAACCCTAGCTAGATGCGCCGGTGACCAAGTTGATTTGCAACCACTGTGGTGGTGCCTATCGGAGAAGGTAATAATAACCCTAGATCCACTGGGGTCGATTCGTCTAACTTTACTCTACACCCAGGGACGTTCTACGTCGCCATCTCAGAACATGCAAGCACAATGTTGGCGACCAGAACCCTTCCGATCCCGGCAAGGCGGGAAGAAAGCGAACGGCCTGCAATTCCTGCGCTACAGCTCGATCATTCTGCGACGGGGACTGCCCGTGCGAGGCCTGCCTGCAAAGGGGCCTGGAATGCTCATTCACCCGTCAGCATAGCCTGTTCCGAAAATCCATCTCTCCCAACGAGCCTCCAGGCCAGCAATCGCCCTCGAGCCTTGCTACATCAAGTCCAGCGGCTCCCATCTCTCAGTCTGTGAAACTGTCCATACCGTTCCTCTTGCACTACACCGATGTCGAGAACGAATCACGATACGAGAGTCTCCGACTACTGTCTCAGTGCAACCCCGCAGACTCGAGATCCGCATGTTGTGCGGTGAACCATCAATCCCACCACCCCCACATCGTCACGGAATCCTGGGAAAGCCTGTTCAAATCATTCATCAACACTGCTACTTTGGATCCCTCCTGCAGCCTACACCCTGCTCCCGGGGACCGGTTTGACTTGGGAGAGCTCGAACACACGTCGTCCGAGATTTTGTCTCTGTTGCAAAATGGTCAGTGTCTTCCACCAGATCACTTGGTGGACTTCGACAGAGCGAAGCAGCTCTTCACGCCGCTGAACATCGCCAAATTTCTTGAAGCGTTTTTCGACAACGCCTTCCACAATCACTTCATCAACCCCGCCACCTTCCGATTGGGCGAAGCATCGACGCTTCTTATCCTGACCATGGTGCTCCTCGGAGCGGTGTACACCTCCCCTTACAATGGCAGTGATCTAGAAACGTACTCAAGCGTAACCGAGCACCTGATATTCAGCGGCCCGTCTTTTCAGCACTTGATGAATCCAGGCCTCAACGCCCTGAGCGACCCCAGGACTCTGGACACCCTCCAAGCCACGATGCTCGTTGTGACGCTGCAGGCGTACAAGCAGAACCCGGACAGCATTCGGCGGATGCGCCTGCAGCGCTTACCGGCGCTCTTCACCGCCATCCGCATGCTGAACCTGAACCGGATCGCGAATGACTGCGTTCCCCGCACCTCTGGCCGGGACGCGTATCTGCTCCGAGAGGGACTGGTTCGGTCCGTGCAGTGGCTTCTGACCCCTCTCCAGAGTGCATCCCAAACTGACTAAGCTGCATCAGGGTCATGGCCGGCATCTACCTTCTGGACTGCTACTGCGTGATCTTCTTCCGCTACCCAGCCCAGCTCCGGCTCGAGGAGGTACTCTTCGCGATCCCCGAGCGGGACGACCTGTTCCACGCCCGCGATACCCCCGAATTCGAGCAGCTCGCCGGCGTCCCCAGCGAGCCGTCACGTGCGCCCCTCCGGGTCCGATCCGTCCTGCGCGCCCTGATGCGGGCCGAAGGTCGCGCTCCGCACCGTGACGCCTACCTCCCTAGCACGGTCTTTGGATCGTTTCTCGTTCTGTCGGGTGAGTGGGACCGGCCCGATCCCGTAAGCTTCGCCCCTCGCGTGATTGACTAACTCTACAAAACACGGCAGCACTCCAATGTGTCCTGTTCGATCTGCTGGCCCTGCACGCCCTCACGGACGAACCCGGGATCTTCGATGCAATCGACCGGGGCCTGGACCGATGGAAGGCCCACTGGGATGACCTGGGCCGCGGCGCGTCGGATTCACCCAGCACGGAACGGGCCGGGTTCATCATCCATGCGGTTGAGTACTGGTGGGTGGCCAAGGTCCTTGTCAAGCATCCCTCCGCGGCCGCCTTGCCGGAAGACAATAACAACAACAACGACGACGACGACAGCCACCACCACCACCATCACGACAGCTTTCGTCGTCTGGTGGATCGACTGACGACGAGGCACTAGCCCTCACTCGAAGTGGCAGAATCCTGTTGCAGTCCCCGGCCTCCTCGGATTGGTTGAGCCCAGCTCACCGCATCGACCGCGGTGTAGATATCTGAGGTAGTCCCGCCTGCAGCAAGAAAACCTAGGAAGGACGAAGGATGAAGCTGTTCGTCCACTGATCGCGAGGGGTAGATGAAGATCTCAAAATAATGGAGCAAGGCGAGCTTACCTTATTCATACTTCTGCGAAGAATATAAGGAGGTATCAGACCTAGGAAGGAGTGGCTAGGTACCTAGTAAGGTACTGTACTAGGTTGGAGCCTCAGAAGAAGAGGTGTGAACCTCCATCCTCTCACCGCCTTCCACATATGGAGGGCTGCAATTCAACCATCCAATTCAATCCAAGCTCTCTCGTACCTGCCGCCCCGCCACAGTGCCTACGTAGTAACGTTACCACCAGTAACTTACAGTACAGTTCAGTTGACAGGATGTGATGTCCTATAGAGAGAACCATCAGCTAGATCGCTGTCTTGACATTCTTCCAAATTGGGCCGAGCGGTGCAACGCTCTCATCAACAGTCCTACGTAACCAAGTTCCTCCCAGCGAGCCTGACATCCACTTTCACTGGGCACCATTTTCACCCTCCCCGACAGGACAGACCCATGAATTCCAAGTTTCCAGTGCTCCCATTGTTTGTAAGCGCCATCGACCATCGACTTATCGCCCCAAGTGAGTTGATTAACAAGAAATTGGGGAAGGTTGAAAGAAGTCTCGGACCAAGCTACCCGGACACCATCGACCGTGGCATCACCTACAGATAATGTATCGACAGTGTGTCGCTGCAAAGAACATTATGTCGAACCGGCGCCCAGGAAATTCCTTTGCAGCACAGCTCGGCCCCTGTTGGGAGATCCCAGGTCCATTGTTAGTAATAATCCACCCGTTGACTGCGTCGTCCCTCCCTTGTAAGGTCAGATTCCCACGAAAAGCAGTCGGCATGAGCGTCGGATGTCATCAGCACACCCTGCAGAGATTCACCGAAATAGAGTCCAAGTCAGACCAATCGTCCAAAAGATATTTAAAACGAAAGAAAGAAAGAAAGAAAGAAAGAAAGAAAGAAAAAAGGAAACAGAGAAGGCTGTCCCTGATGAGACGGATAGTGGATAAGGCACACACAATCTTTCTCGAGAAGGGTGTAGAGTCATAGTGCGGTCGGCACAGTGCGGTCGGGGGAGCGACCTCACGCGTCGATGTCAGGCCATCCCCCCCTGGCGGTATACATGCATTCTTACCGTCTTGTTGCGTCGCGGCGAAAGGTTGGGGGGCGGTTTCTTCCGACCGACTAGGCAAGATTTGTTGCTGGCGCCTTGCTCGAGGGCTCTTCCAGGCTTGCCGGGTTGAGGCCAAACAAGCTGGGGTTCAGCCTTCCGCTGAGATCGTAACTGCTCTTATCATTTCGCCAGATAGGGCTGAGGATGGAATTCTCGATCGCGGGGCTTGGTTTCGATTCCGGGGAGGCGGTGGCTGCTATACTGCGGAGCGCGTAAGTTACTGTACACTGAGAGGATGGCGGATTGAAAGGATGAGGCGGCTGGTGGTGGTGGAGGTAGTAGTGGCGATGGATGTAAAAGAAAAAAGGAAAAGGTCTTCTCGTGCAAGGGATCTGCCATGAAAGGGGCCTCAACAAGGTTCGTTATTGAACGACTGACCTACGTAGGTTCCAAAGAAGGAGAAAAGTGTCGGTCGGAGGGCCCGTTTCAGTGAGTGTGACCCTGCACTTTCTCGGAGGAGGTTGGAGGGTTGGGCTGAGGTCGGTCGGATGAGTGGCCGTTGAAGAATGTAGTTCGACGGTAAGCGGTAGGAGGTGATGGATCGTTGGTATTTCGTGGATTGACCGCGTGGAGATGACGAGAGGTCCTTGTTGACCACGACGGAGCAAGCTTGGGCAGCGGGCTTGCAACGTTCCCGACCCGAGGAAAACCGTGCGATACAGCGTGGCTCTGGCCCTGGCTCTGGCCCTGGCTATTCCACTCAATCGCTCGATTCGGTCGCTTTGAACAATGGGTGGATTTCAGCGGGATGGAAGGAGAACAGGCAAGGTAGTACCGTCGTAGTTACCTATCTAGGGCCAGAGGTGGTTGATGTAGAGTACCCAAGCAGCTACGGTGCCTCAGCACTGCACCGCAAGTAGAGAACTTCACCCTAATCGCGTCTGTGTTGAGCATTGCAACTAACCTCGACAGCAGTTATACATCGCAATCCCCGTCCCTCCAATACGCGAGGCTAGCTGCAAAGCACAGCCGTGTGAGTTCGAGGGGCACGGCACAGCAGGCACAGCAGTCCACACCTAATCGATGAGCGGAGGTTGCACGGGTCACGGAAAAGGAATGCTGACGTTATTGGGTTTGATGTGGTCTCTTCTAGAGGGTCCTGGCTCTCGCAAAAGGGATCGAAGGGGAAAGGGGCCGCTGGTTCAGCTGATGGGGTCTGATGGCGACGTGCTGTGTAAGATCAAAGGACTGCCCGAAAGTAATGGCGGGATTCCGATAGCCGTTGCAAGCCTGAAAGACCATCGAGGGCATTTAGTGTATTGTCATGTACAAGGCGAGGGGAAGGAGGGGAGAGGAAAAGGGCAACGAACTCGACTTTGCGACCATCAAATGTGGGATGCCCCGGTCGGCGTGAGTGTCCCTCAAGGAAAATACCCACATTCCACCCGGCTCGCTGGTCTTCGTGGCTCGGCTCGGACCGTACTTAGCTAGCTACTGTAGCTACTGTACACTGTGCGTGCACATGGGTAGAGTAACCGTGGGACTGGACAGTTTGGGTGTGCTGCCTGGTCTTCGTGGCTTTGTGCAGCACATTCTTGGGGTTGTGTGAGGATGGATGGCCTCAGCAAGGTCTCAGCATGGGGAGGTGTTTCTAGTCGTCATCGGTGAAGCGATGGCTGGGAACCAGCAACTTGGACTTGCGAGGATGGAGAGGTGCATCGATGGTGGAGGCAGCTACCGGTTCAACGCAAGAAGTAGAGTTGATTGATGGAGGATGGAAGGCGATGTAACGGAGGGGAGGCCAGCCCAAAACAACCACACAGCATCAAATGCGAGTCCGTCCTGAGGGGCAGGATAGTTCACTCCCCTTGACCGTTGATGACTGCCCTCCTGAGTCTGATTCACACCGCGAGTAGTTCTGCGGGCGACCGTGCGAAGATAGCATAGACAACGCAGAGCAGGTGCTTCACCGGGGGAAGATTCCCCCCCAACGCGCAGGGAGAATTGGAAAAGACGCCGTCAAGTGCGAGGTACTCCGTACGCCGTCTGAGGAGGAGAAGGAGGAGGAGAAGGAGGAGGAGAAGGACGAGGAGAGGAGGGGGTTGGGGGCTTAGTAATCGAGCTGGTCAGGATTGAAATCCCTCAATTTCGGCATCTGAGGATCACGATAGGTACAACGCTTCGGGTCTTTGCAGGCAGACAGTTGAACGGTTCAATGACAATTCAGGGTACCATACACCAACCGGTGGAGGCGATGGCATGACACTGGCTGTCCATTGGGGGTGGAAGTCAGAATATGATTTTCCAACAGATGTGAAGGCTGGCTAAACTGTTTCACTTCCCGATCTTGCAGAACACAAACAGACGTGTTCCGTCGATGTAACTCTCCCGCTGGGAGGCAAATCCGCCAATTTGTCGTGCGTCAGGAATCCAGAACCCTCTGTGGTGGTCGCCCCTTTACGGTCGCAATTGCAGCCACACATCATGCATCCATCCTTCACTGGGGTAAGGTGATAGGTTCCAAGCCATGTCGTGAGAAATGAAACCTGGGTCTCGTCCTATCGAATAGGAAAGTCCCGGACGGAGCCCTGCGGGAGGGTCAGCAGTCGAAACAGTTGAACCTAGGGATTGTGGAAGTCTTCCCCAAGTTCTCAAGCCCAGCAGTCGGCGTGAAGACTCAATCTCAATGTGATCCACATCCGAGGAGGAAGAAAGAGCAGCACCAAGCAGCACCATCTTCGGGCGGCTGCTGTCTGTTCTGATTGTTCTGAGAAGATCGTCGTCTCGGCGAAATATCGGACTCCGGGGGTTCACCGCCCGCCTTATTGACAGGTTGACAGGCAAAAGCTCATCATGGGAAGAGGGAGGGGGTGATCCGATGTCGGCATCGACCCCTTTCAGTTTGACTCCTGTACGGGAAACTTTGCCATGGAACAAGAAGCTTTTATGGTAATCACCATCTAACATCACTTAACGTTATTCAATCTGAGTACGCCCAACAATTTACAAGGTAAAATCAAAAAGCCCGCGCAGTACAAAAGCAACCAGGGAACTACTAGAACAACTGCAGCCCGAATTCAATCCCACTCATTCATCTTTCCGCGCGAGAATCGGGTGACCGAACATGTTCAACCTCGACCCTCTGCGAGTGATTGCTTGCGAGGCGTTCGACCTCTCCGCCTCCGCCGTGAACATCGTGGGCTTGATGCGATGACGACCCACTGACTGTGGTCGGTAGCTGCGATGGCCGCACCCCTGCGCCTGGCTCATTGGAAGGCTCACCGCGAGGGTTGGTGTATTCGGTGGGAAGGCCAACGCTATAGCATTTGTGTAGCAAGTAGCCAATCCCTAGGGCGATTATGAAGGCGATAAACTGTGGCCTGTTGCGCAGAGGTGGCGATGTTTTATCGTCTGGACTGCGAACCGTCCCTAGGTGCACAACGCAGCCCACCATGACCGAGTGGAACGCGAAAGATGATAATGCGCCCGGGATCGACGTCGCCGAAGCACCGCTCTCCTCTTTACCATCTGAGCCTTGGGTTCCTCCAGCCTCCGCCCGGTCAAGGGATTGCTGGGAGCTTGGTTGGCCACTCAGGCCTTGGCCTCGGCTTTCGGTGGTTGAGCTGTTGTTGGTGTTGGTCTCGGTATTGTTCCGGTCGCCGCGGAGCGTTCCCGCTCTCAACCAAGCTCTCAGATCCGATGGTTTCACGAGCAAAGATAAGACCCTCGACTGGTTCAAAGCATGCTGAACGGCAATCATGGAGAACACGACGCCGAATAAAAGAAAACAGTGCGTAGCCGGGTGCGTTTGGCTGGCACTCGCGTGCGAAAGTAGTGCGACGCTAGAAGCTGTCATCATAGAGCCCTAATTGCGATCAGTGTTGTTCCAGAGACCACGCCAACCACATTGATGCCATCACTCTTCACTTACGCTTGTCGCAAGCAATCGGTTGTCATTCAAGAGTGTCTTTCTGAAAGCCTCGGTTTTAGCATCATCGTTGCAGCACAAGAGTCTGTACCGCGTTTTCGATATTGACCGGTCTCCGAATAACCATACAAACCAGCCTACAAGCTTGAAGATGACGTCGCGGCCCACCCTTTTGGTTTTGTCCAAACATGCAGAAATGGCTTTGGTGCCGGTGTTGGAATTCGCCATTTTGGGGAGTCGTTGTCAGCGGCCAACAGAGAAGATAGGATATGGGAATCCAATTGTTTTCCTTCCCCACATTGCTGATGCTGATGACTAGGGATCGTTTATGTCTGTTTATATGCATTTCCTCACATTCGTTCTCTTCTTCTGTAGCTGCGCAAGGCATAGTAGAGACACCACGCAAGACCCGAATAGAAGAGGGAGGCTGCATTGACCTCGTTTGCAGGCCGGAGCAAAGAGGCGCGATGATTGAGGGGCTGGGCGTCGCGTTTTGCTCTCTACCTGCGGCGTTTGTCTGACTCACGCATCTGCTCCCTGTTGTGAAATGACCAGAGGCGCCACTACGGAGCATCTGCTGTAGATAGTAGTGACAGTCAGAGAACCATCAATCTTGGGAGGTCTCTGGATGTCAACAACCCACCAATGCTATCCGTGCCCATCCGCCCATCCATCGGCAGCCCTCAGCACATCCGACAGGCAACATAGCATAAACTCAACATGCTCCCCGGTCTCTTCTCACCAAAGTCGCCGCTATTGTGGAGGTCACAAAGCGGGAAAAGTGAGGGCCTAGATGCAGTTCTTTGTTCAGGAGGCCGGCGGCCGCGGGGGTACAAACGGTAGAGACGGGAGGGGTACACCAAGGGACCGCTCATCCCCACGGTTGATGGCATGAGGGAGACAGACTCCCCTCCCGTCCTTCCCTTTGCCTGTAATCATGTTCCTATGCTTGGGGTAGTTTTCTGGGGCCGCTCCACTGTGTCAATGAGTACTTCTCTATTCCGGAGCGGAGAACGTTTGGAGGACCGGGACAGGTTCACGGGCTTTTTGTCCCGCTTTCCGGCAAGGGAACCAACCAGCTCCACACATGACTTTCAGGTCTTGAGGGGTTTAAAGCGCTGCAATGGTAGCTGCAATGGTAGTAAGTATCACTAGAGTAAATAATAATTTATCGCAAAGAAATAGAGCTCGGCGTGTCAGCTCTCCCCAACCCTCGCTTTGTCTCCCGACATAGGGCACAAAACGTCTAGGTGCATTCTACCGGCACTTCGAAAGAGAGACGGAGTAGTTAGAGCCAACACGAGGCTTCGCTAAATTAAGGATCGAGGCGAGCGGACTCCCTCAGAGGTCAGGCCGTCGTCTACCTCTGTATCAACACTCTCTTCGACTTCATCATCCTCTGGGCTCCCGAAAGGCCTATAATAAGCCTCATGAGCCTCAGGAACCTCGGGAGCCTCGTAAGGCTCTAGGCTAATCTTCTCTTCTCTCAGAAAGACATTAGAGAACAGATCCGTCGGGCCCCCCGGAAGTGCCAACAGAAAAAGTTCCTCCAGATGACGTTCTGCAATATGTCTCAGCAGCTTCTCCACCGAGGACCACTGGCAATCGGCACAAGGAATCCCACAGAAGGGGCATTCGTTTAAGAATGAAGGCAGAAGCTTCGCAGGGTGGGCATCGGCGTCTTTGAGATGGTTGAGCCAAGCGTCAATGGAGCCGAACGTGTGTGGACACAGCGCCCACATGCAGAGATACGGCCGCAGGTCGTCCATCAGGTGGCGTCTCCACTTCGATTGACTAAGATTCTGGGATAGAAATCGGTGCTCACAGTAGGGACACCGAATGAAATGCTTACCAGGTAGTATCCCGGGGATCGGAGGAAGCTCAATGGTGCGAGTGAAGTCGACCGTCGCGGGCGGAAGATGGCTTGATTGACGCGTAATGACTCTGCGACGCGCCCGAATGAGGTTGCTGAGCTGCACCAGGAGCCTGGGGTCGGCCCGTGGGTATCGTGCCTCACAGGCTGCGTGAAGGAACCACGTGAGCTGGACGTCGTTGTTTTTCGGGAGACCGACCATTTTGGCGGCCCTCTGGAATGACTGGGCAACTCTTTCCTCCAGAATCTTGTTTTGGGCCGGGGGGTGGTCAAAGTAGCGTAAAAGGTCCCGGAAACGATCAAAATTGGCGTAAAGCCTGTTCCAGACCGAGTCAGTAAGCTCCCGAACCAAACACTGCCTTACGACCTTCAGGTACTCACACGTTTCGTGGTAACGCCCAAGGGGCTCTTTGTAGATCCTGCCTCTATGAAAGTAGCGCGCCACCTCATGGTCAGCCAGCCAAGGAAGTTCCCCCATCAAGGCCCGTAGATCCGCTTGAAAGTACCGCAAGCGTTCTAGTCGATTGCTTTTATCTGGATGAGCGCACTCCAGGCATAGTGTCTCGACGAGATCCTCTAAGTTCTGGACCTGCACAGAAAACAACGTCTGCCCCGGAGGATCTATTAACCTGGGACAAAGCATTAACCTGGGACGATACATTTTCGTGGACACAAGGTGTTGTTATGAGTGACACTGACCTTCCAATGGTCTGGACATGCAGTCCCTCTACGAGCTTCACACCTCATTTATATAGGGTGAGGCTTGCTTGCTCATTCTGCCGTTCCTTGGAAACGGACAGCCAGTCCCAAGCTTTCTAAACAACGGAGGGAGAGCTGGAGCGAAAAGTGCCTATCTTATCACAATCCAACACTGGGCATTTTCTCGGTGTTACTGTGCTGTCTTCAGGAGGCATAGATAGCAGGGAATCGGACGCCAATGACAACAGGCAGGGTGCCTCCACAACCCTGCTAAGCCCTGGAGCCATGCACACCAGCATGCGGTGCATTTACGAGGCAAGGGAGGCCAGAGTGAAGAGAGAAATTCCGTGTCCTACCCACAACAAAGAATCTTCAGACAGAACTGCCAGGGCTAAACAATGAAGAACAGGCGAAATTTCCGGTTCCAGCAAGCGGGATGGGAGGATTGATTACCGCAGAGTCCTACTAGGTACCTAGCCCTCAGCCTGGCCCGCGAATATTTGGCTGCGCTGAATGGTGGATCCAAGATCATGTGATCAGTATGCGTTTCTGTTTCTGCCGTTGTCCGCCGCTTTCCCTTCATGGTGGTGCATGTGGTGCATCCTTACACATTCTCAGACTCCCAATTAAGCCTCCAGCTATCATCTGCGAACGGCCACCCGCCCAGCTGAATGCCCAGTCGCGAGGTAGAGCGAATCTCCTCCGCATTCCGCTTGAGCTCGCTCACATCCCAATTGGCCCACAGGTACTTGCCCTGCAGAAACTGCGCCTCGGAGCTGGCCAGCCAGACGTAGAAGCTCGCAGGTAGATCCACTGTAGGCGGAAGAGAATTACCAAGTCAGCCGGCCGTCCTTTCTTCTTGAGCCGGGGTTTCTCATCTTATGGTCGACAAAGAGAAAAAAAAAAGGTGGAACAAAGAAAACAAAAAAAAAAAAAGAAAAAAAGAAAAAGAAAACAAAATAAAAGAGGGAAAGAAAGAAAAAGCAGGAACATACCATTATCCTCAAATCCGAGTGCCTCGATGCCCCCAGCCTCGCGGTTCATCGCCGTGTCCACGACCCCGGGCTGCACATGATACACGCGCAACCCCGGATTCTCGAACCCGACCGCATCCCACAACCGGAACACCGCCATCTTGGCGACGCTGTACGGGGCCAACCCGGGCCCGAAGTTCACGTGGGCCGCGCTGGAGGAGGTCTCGATGATGACGGCGCCGGGCGCTGCGCAGCGTAAGAACGCCTGCGCCACCCACCACGCGCCATGTAGGTTCTGTTGGATGGCGTCTAGGGCCTGTTCGCCGGGGGCATCGGCCACGGGCACCATGGGGCCGATCATCCCCGCGTTGCTCACCAGGACATGGATCTGCCCTCCGGGACTGAGAAACTGGCTGAAGGCGGCGTCGACCTCGCTCTGGCGGGTGACGTCCGTGGGGGCTGTGAAGACCTCGACAGCCGGAAATTCCCGCTGGATCGAGGCCTTGGTGTCCAGCAAGGGCTGCTCACGGCGGCCGAGGAGAGCGATGCGGGCGGCGCTGGCTTGAGCAAAGCGGCGGGCGGTCTCGGCACCGATGCCGGTGCCTCCGCCGGTGATGAGAATGGTTTTCCCGTGCGCGGAAAGTTCGGGGCGCGAGGGGGAGATCTCCGGGTAGGCTTTGTCGTGCCACACGGCGGTTGGGGAGGGGAAGGGTGCCATTGTATATGGCTCTTTTCGTTCTTGTCAAATCAAAAGAAAGATGAGGGGTAGCAGGAAGACCGATGGCAAGTACTGCACGTTGATGCTGATCCCTAATCATAGAACTACTCAATGCTGACAACCCAGTCTTTATGTATCTTTCACTTCGGGTGCGTTTGTTAGGCATGGCTACAAAATGGACAGTATTGACAAAATTGCCTCTCCGAGATAAGAAACGAAGTGTCTCGTCCAACTTCATCACGAGTATCGCGTCTTAATTCGGTAGCCTCAGGACTCGACAATCGAATGAGGGCATCTTATCCGGTTGCCAGGAGGGTGAAGCATACAGAGGTGTTCCGCCTTGGCGCCTGAAGTTGACAAAATGTTCCGCCCGCGGCGCCCGACAGTCCTTTCCCAATCAGGCAGGTCCCGCCTGGAGCTGAGGCTCCAGCTCAGCAGTTATGTTAGCCCTAACTCCGTTGCAGGATTACCGCTTACCAAGATCGCTGACAAATGCAACAAGTGTTCAAGATACTTAGATAGGTTCCGCCCATCGGATTCAGTATCTCATGCGGTGCAAATTGAATTCAAAAAAATATGCAGAGACCGAACTTGGCTCCTACTGTATTACGATGCGGGCGCTGCAACAAGCCCTTCGACAAGGGTAAGTGTCCGTCCCGAAACTATGTACCGCACGTCTGCCTGACACTAGGACCCTGCAGAGTCTACGCTCAAGAGGCATGGGTATTACTGTCGGTCACGGAAGAACGAAAATTCACCGCGGTCGCGCTCTTGCATGGCCTGTGCGAAGAGAAAGGCGCGTTGCGATCAGCAGCATCCGAGATGCTCCCGTTGCGTGATGACGGCCATTGAGTGCGAGTATCCAGCTAGGACTCCTCGAGACGCACGACGCAAAAATGAACAGGTCGATGCATGGACCAGCCATTCGATCACACCTGATGTGTCCAATCAGACTGTTAACGCAGACTGCGTATTTGAAACTAGCGATGATGTAGCGATGTATGCGGAAATTGGGCTCGCTGGATCGAGCCTGGACCTCGGGTTTCTCGACCAAATTCTGCTTGGAGCCGGTCGCGCAACACCAGGCCCCAACAGTCTTTTCGAGCCTATAATACACACCGAGACCGGTCAATACCCGTCCCCAGAGTCTCTGCCAGAGGCTGTTGGTTCGAGAGTTCCGATGGAACAGAAGCAGCTCACGCCAAGTTTGTGGGTTCCCATGGCCCCAGCTCAGAACATCCGCTCGCTGTTGCAGCGTCCGAGACTGAATGTGGGAGCCCAGAGGTCCGCGAATCTGATTTTACACACCCTGAGGTCTTACCCCCAGATGATGCTACGCGACAGCATCCTTCCCCCCTTCATTCATCCCCACCTGATCCGTCTAGATGCCAAGAGCGAGGACATGGAGCCGTTGACCAACTGCATTAGCCTCGTGCATATGACCAGCGGACCGGTGAGGGGCAATCGCAAGTTATTTTGGAAGAACGTTCATTGGGAATGTGAGCGACTGCATGCGGAGGTACGCTGTCTGCAGATCAATCTTTCCGTTATGAGACGGAAGAGTCACTGACTGAAGCATGAAGCACGCGAAGCTGAACAAATGGGAACTACTTGCCGCGATGCAGGCTCTATCCATTTATATTATCATAAGACTTGAAGAGGGTGAGACAGAGCACAATAATGTCGATTTTTTGTTGCTCTCGACAGTGACGGTAGGCCTCACCAATAGTTCATTGTCCATGGTCGAGCTCTAATGTTCAGAGCAGGTCATTGCCCGACAGGTCGGCGAAAGCAGCTTTACCACCAACACCGAAGCAGAGCGTAGGAGCGACCACACTTGTGTGTCGTGGAACGACTGGCTCTTTGAAGAATCCAGGCGAAGGTTTGCGGACCCCTGCCTGGATTAGAAGGCAAATACTGATCTTCGCCAAGGCTATGCGTGATCTACCAGGTCGTGAGCATGCTGGTGTACTTCGACCCAGCCGCTATGTGCGAACATCCCACAGATCTCGTTCTATCCCCCCTTCCGGCAAGAAGACAGCTGTGGGAAGCGGGCGACGAGCTTGCCTGGAAGACTGAGGTTGAAAGGGGACCTGCGTTTAGGAAGGAGTATGGCATGGCGGCCAATGGCGAGCTTGTGCAGCTCAGTGTGGACGAGGTCTATTGCCAAGATACAGTGGCTCTGCAGAGGCCAGCTAGTGCCAGGGAAGCTGCGACCTGGGAGGATTGGTGTTCCGGTATGGATGGGCTGGGTGGGCTGGTCATGCTTGCTGCTTCACTGGTGGGATAGTGTCTATGATGGCGTTGTTGGGTAACTGCCATGTCACCATGTCACTACCTAATAGTATGTTGCGCAGCCGGAATTCAATCCCGCAGAACGACTGCGCCAATGAGTCAGCGGCACCTCCCTGTCCCTTCTCGCTTTTCTTTACCTTTTTTCTCTCAACATCAATGCTTCGCACTCACTCGTCACAACCTTTGCTGTTCAGCACTTCAGCACTTCAGCACTTCAGCAGATCATCTCTATTCAACTACGCGAGGCATCTTCATTTCGAGAGACCAAGTGCCAAGTGCCACTTGTTCCCTCCTACTTCTCAGTATCTACAACCTATCTCTGTTTAGGTCAACGGCGCAGAGGCGCCCATACAACTACTGTCGTTTCTTTCGAGTCCTTACTCCGCTACAAAGCATGCCGCCATCTCCCTTCGGACAGCTGGGCGTGTTGCCCCTGGAGCTTCGACTGGAGATTTACGAAAGACTATTTTGGAAGCCGACACCATCCGTGAGCATTTTGTGCTGCTCTCGCGCGATCTACGAAGAGATCACTGGCCGCCTCTATGACACCCTTGACATCGACCTGACACCATCATGGCATAGCTCTCGGCTGGAAATTCGCTGCAAGGCACTGCGATTGCACTGGGAAATACCCTACTCCACCCCCGCCATCCGCGATCGCTTCTCTCGACTCCCGTACCACAAGACCAATCTCCAAATTCACATCTACGCACCGGATCCGCACGATCCCGGGCAGATCATCCTTCTATGGAACAATATCCGGAAACTCACAAGCTTTCTCGAAGCCGCGACAATAAAGTCGATCATCATTGACCTCAAGGAGTATAAGGGAAGCGATTGGCAGGACGCCGGTCGCGCTGTGGAGAGCATCCCATATCCTGGGACCCGTCAACCCGACCACAACGTCGTCTTTCCCCCGTTTTGTCGGCTGTGCAATGTCAAAAGCCTCCGACTAGTCCCCTCATCCCGTCGCATGGATCGTGCGATTGACTGGGGCTTCATAAACTACGGTCGCGATTTCATCCTCAACAACGGATACGAGACCTACAACGATGGCCCCCTCAGCCAGGACCCGCACTTCCGCGACGTGGCCCCCCTCTTCGACGATCTCGACGGTACGATACGCGACATGCAGTTCTTTCTGGACACCCGCTTGAACCTTTTGCCGGGAGACACCGCGGCCATGCTTCGCTTGGGCTGCGCGAGCCGGCTTTCCACGAGCACATTTCCGATGCACCACCGGGAGCTTTTCCTGACGCTGCGCGAATGTCCGAAGGCGATCACGCTCCATGATCCCGGTCTGTAAAGGTGGTGCATCCGAAACTGGCATCATTGGAACATCTCTCACCAAGCGTCCTGGCTATCCCTGAAATGGCCATGGGACGAATGGTGTCGGCGATATCCTCGCGGGTTGCCCCCTTTGACCCCGGAAACTGTCATCGGGTACTGGCAGGCTATTCCGAGCAATCCGCGTCACGGATGGAAGAACAGAGGTGACATTGAAAGGAATGGGGAGTTCCATTTCTGGATTTGGAGTTACCTGCATCGGAACTGGGGACAACAAAGTATCAAGCGGTTGCGGTTCTTCGAGCGGGAGTGATGCACCGATTGCCGCCACATGGGCTTCCAGGAGGGCTGCGAGGAGGGCTGCGAGCGTTTGTGTCGATTCGACTACAGGGAGGCCTGGGAAGACTCAGATGACGAAGGTGACTACTCGGACCCCGAGCTTGTCCTTTAGCACAGAATGGACTATATACGTAACCGACGGTGTTTCTCGCACAAGATGAAGCTTTAATACACGGGACCTTTCTCTCTACAAGTTACGGGACTCGACGCGGCGGCCGATAACGAGACTCCCACTGTAGTACCATGGACACAGATACACAATACCGTTTACTGTCTTCATTTGTGGCAGTCTTCGGCCTGTTTTACTTCCCTTAAAGCCCGTGATTTAGCTTCTATTTTGCTCGCAATGTCTGTTTTATTCGATGTATTGTTCGTCTCTCATCACAATCGGTGTGATAGTCGCGGCAGGGGCCAGCCCGGGCCGCTGGCCTCCCTAATGCTTCAGAGCAGGAAGGAAAGGACTACATCAGTCTCTGCCTCGGTTGGTACTCAAAACTTCAAGCAGTTCCTTCTTCACCTATGCTTACTTGCCCGACGGGCGTCCCTTCCTTGTCTGTTTTCCGTATCCTATCAAGCAGGGTGTATGAGGCATGCGCGCTGGGAAAGAGAGGTCTAGCAAGGGTCAATTGGTAACGCCGACATGCCAACCACCACTTCACCCTCCACCATCCTGCCTTTTGCCCTCTCGCGCCACCACACGCCCCGTATACCGCGTCATGATCCGATCCGCCAGCTCCGCATTCAACCCCCCCTCGCCCCCGCTCACCTCTCCCTCGGAGTCCGACACCTCCTCCGCGTACACCCGCGGCTCGGGCACCGGGCCCGCCCGAGGATCCTCAGCGCGCATAGGCCGTGCCTCACGCTCATAGCTGCGCTCGCGCGGCCGGTACCGGTATCGCGTCCGGGCACTCGGCCCATCCCCGGCCGCCGGGTACGACGCACGCTCGTAGACCCGTGAACGAGATCTGGACCGCGGCCGCGAAGGGCTGCGCGAAGGCGACCGGGATTCCCGGCCCGGGCGACGACGGTCCCGCGCGCGCTCCCGCAGCGCCGCGATCAGTGCGCCCGCCACGGCGGGGGTGACTGTGCCCAGCAATTTCTTGGTGGAGGGGCTGAACTCGGCGCGGGAGCTGCCGCGGGCATCCGCTTGCGTGCAGCGTTTGAAGACGGCGAGCACACTTGCCGGTTCGCGGGGGTGGTCTTGGGGTGGATTTGGGCGCGAGAGTCGGAGCCGGTCGCGCCAGGTGGCTTTTCTGTCCTTCGGGGGTGGTGGGGGTGGGGGTGGGTACACCGGGTCCACGACGAGGAGCATCCAGTGGTGGCGCGAGGAGGGGTCGGGGATGAGCCAGTTGGTGATCAGGTCTCGATATCCCGGCGGGAGAGTGGTCAGCGCGGCGTACGCTTCGAGATTTAGGGCGCCGGATGGGGCGGACTTTTGTTCTTCGCGGGCGAGGCGCTTGGTGAGCTGTGGGAGGGGGTAGTCGACTGGGTGGACGGTATAGGAGACTGGGGTCTTGGTGATGAGGAGAGACCAGGTGAAGGCGAGGCCGTCTGCAGTGGTGCAGTCTTGTAGGAGGAGTGGGATTGTGGGGTTGCGTTGTGTTGCTGGGATGGTGTTGACCATTCTCAAGAGTCTGTGAATGTAGAGGTAAGTGGGTGGGTCTCATATGCATGGATAATATCCGGCTGCTACATACTGTCTCAATGCCACAGGATCGCCTTTGTATCTGCTCCACAGCGACGAGATCCTCTGCTTCGACGCTCGAGAATCGTGCTCCGGCGCCAGCGCAAACTTCAGGGCATAGTCGATCGCTTGCTTGACGGGGTTCTTTCTCCCCGAGTCCTCGGGCTCCGGAGCGTATGGCGGCCCATATTGCGTGGTGCTGACATCGCGAGGGTGCTCGAATCTGCCCTCCTCAAAGGCTTCATCGCCAGACATGTACGGTCGCTCTTCCTCGAGATCATCAGGCGCGTCTCGTGTCGGACGCCGGCCGCGGTGGCGAGCATACGCGCGGTCGAGGCTTTCGGGCGAGATGCCCCTGGTCCTTGGCAACTCGTGCGCTGGTTCCTCACCACGTTCTTCACTCATATGTGTAGTGAATCGATCATTCTGTCCGGGAACATCACCGTACCCAGGCCGGGTCGCTCGGTCGAGTCTGCGACCACAGAGGACGAGCTCACGACGGGCGACGGTGCGCGAGCGCCACAGCGCGATGATGCGCTCGACAATCGCCTTCCGATCTTCTTCTTTTGACCTGCAGTCCAACCAACATGAGCACGCAAGATTTCAACAATATACAAACACGCAACTTATATTGAAAGATAAAATCAGAGGACAAGAAAGAGGAGGAGAGTCCCAGGGCAACCCACGTCGAACTAGCCTGGTAAGTACTCAGCGCCAGCAGCATCTCGATCTTAATCTTCTGCAGCTCCTGCTTCAGAAACTGCAGCTGAGGCTTGAACAGCGGCCACGAGAGGCGGCCAAAAAGTGACACATCAATTTCCGTGCGCGAAACCAGTGTCCGACTGTCGCTCGTTGTGTCGCTCGCCGACGTGGTGGTGGTGGTTGTGCCAGGAAGAACGGATCTACCCCCCGCCGCCGCCGCGGGCATCGTGCCCCCACCCCCTGAGCGGCGGAGCAGCCTCGATAGCCGCTGGATCACATCCTGGCAATCCTGAAGACACTTCTTGGCCAAAAACAGCCCGTGGGCGCTCCAGCGCGCTGTGGTTTTGTTCTCCTGGATGATGCGGTCGAGTTCCTGGGCGTGCGAGACAGTCGCCTCGATCTCGTTGGCGAGGTTGGCGATGTCGTCGCGGCCGTGACGCACGTCAGCGATGTAGGTGTTTAGGGTGGTCGCGAGGCTGAGGCCGAGCTGGGCGAAGGCGAGCACGGCGCTGGCTCCGTCCATAGTAAGGGGAGGGGTTTAGGGTGATGCATGTTGAGGGTGGAATGTGCGATGGTGCTTCCGTGGCTTCATATGGAAAGCTGGTCTGGCGGTGATGGAGAAGGCTGACAGACAGGCAGTGTGGCTGTGGCGGGGTCGAGGCAGATCTGAGCCTCAGGTGGGATGACAATCCTGCTTAAGTACATCGGACTCCGCACGCAGTCCCAAAATGATCAGCGAATTATAATGAGCGTGGCAGCAGAATACGACTGCCAAGCTTATGAGGGGGCACATCCGGCCTATAGCATCTTTTGCGCTGGTTTTAGTTGCCAACTCCCTTCCGATTAGGGCTAGCAGCTGCATCTCACAGCCTTGCGTGCCCATCCAAGATCCAACCCAACGGTCAAGTTACAATCAATCCACCACGAACTGGCAGCACAGTACCTTAACCAAGTTTCCAGCTTCTCATCGCTCCTACGCAGTT